TTTATCTGAAACATTTTTTTCTAAAATGCTTAGTTTTCGAGATATTTCACCGGTCCGGGACTTTTTGAACACCCTGTATATACTCTATTGGCTCTTGCCCACAGGACGCGGTAATGCTTGCCGTGCGGCGGAAGTTCGCGCGACAGCCAATCAATATGTAGTTTTTCCGTAAGAGTTAGAAGATTATTACGGAAAGCAGCATATTTATTGGCTGTCACGCGAACTTCCGCCGCGCGGCAAGCATTATAGCTCCTGCACACAGGACGCGGTAATGCTTGCCGCGCGGCAGAAGTCCGCGCGATAGCCAATCAATATGTTGTTTTTCCGTAAGAGCTAGAAGATATTACAAAAAGCAGCATATTGATTGGCTGTTGCACGAACTTCCGCCGCGTGGCAAACGTTACCGCGTCCTGTGTGCAAGAGCCATTACCTTGTCTTGTGCATTGTCCTGTATGCAAGAGCCATTATTCATTTATACCTATCTTTGCTAAAGGTGAAAGGGCCATTTTCAAAGGCTTGTATACCAATTCGGACGGAACGGAACGGATGTTTTTGAGGTTATATGTTCTATAGCCGATGTATACAGCTGATTTGGCCGACATTGAAATCATATAGGGACAATGTTTAGTGATTTGTGCTTTTCACGCATAGGGTGCGTTCTTTTATTCGCAACAGATACAACCCGATGCATCCGATGCATAATTTAATCGTTCTGTATATCCAGTTGCGCACATCAAGCTGCAGACTGCGTACATCTTAACCGTTCTTTAATTTAAGTTGCAAGCAGAATCGTGCAACTGCTTGCAACTTTTAGCATCCCAATCCAAGCGGCTGCCGAAAAATTGTAGTCTGAGTTCCGAATGCAGGAACCTTAAGTACTTGTATTTCAAATTCAATAATGTTTTACATCAATAATACTTATAGAATAGTATTTAGAATAGCACTCGTTAGTGGCAATCATTAATTTGTCTTATTGCATATTTTTTATACTTCTTATACCGTTTTTTCGGAGAAAATATATTTTCTCCGAAAAAACGGTATAAGAAGTATAAAAAATATGCAATAAGACAAATTAATGATTGCCACTAACGAATGCTATTCTAAGTACTATTCTATAAATATTATTGATGTAAAACATTACTGAATTTGAAATACAAGTAACAAAAATAACTAGTAAATAAATAAAATATATTATATTTGTAATATTTTTTTTAAATATTACTGCAATATTGCTAAAGTAATATTGCAAATTAATGTCACTGCAAAGTCTCTGCAACATTGCACTGCAATATGCAATCTTGCAACGTTGTAGCAATGTTACTGCAAGCTTCTGTGCTGTATGGGCATTGCTGAGATTCGAGCCTGAGACCTTTCCCAAGTAGCAGACACGTCAAAATGACATCCAATTCTAAGTAAGTTCAGAATAAAAAATAACCAAGGAATGATAAAAAATATCGTGAGAATATCGTCAAAATGATAGTCTAATGTCACAGATCGATGACGACATTTTAGACGACTTATAGCGAATTCGGTAGCTTGCACTAGTGCGCACTGAGTGCGCATTAAGGCTTGTTTACAGTACATTCTTATATTTAAGATCGTGTCTTAAATACATATTTAAAAACATTTTAACTAATAAAATGATTCGTACGGATGTTATACATATCATATTATGGTTAAAAATATTTGAGAATTTATTTGAGAATTATTTAAGACAATCTTTAAATATAATAACATACTATGAACAAGCCTTAGTGCGCACTCAGTGCACACTAGTGCAAGCAACCGAATTCGCTATTAGGTTTCGAAGAAAATTGTTGAAAGTCCCGGCCTAACCGCCGTCACGACAAGACATGTTCGAACAAGTTCGGACCTTGTGATTTTTTTGGATCGTGTCTTGAAAATTTCCAAGACTTTGCTCTCGAATTATATCATTAATCGGAAACTGGCGTTGGGGCATTACTTTTAAAGAGGCCTGTAGCCAAATATTGAAGGAAGGAAGGAAGGAAGGAAGAAAATTGTTGAAGGGGTTAAGATTTGATTGTTTCATTAAAAATGAAAACTTCACGATATAAGAAAGCTCGGAAAAATCTTGGATTTTATGTAAATAATTACAAATTTTATCAACCGTTTCAAGTTCTTATTGATGGTACATTTGCATTCGCCGCATTAGAGGTTAGCAAGTGTTATTTACTACTATGTATGTTTAATGTTGGATTTATAATTCTTATTTATTTTATTTTTATGCTTTATTATATTTATGCTTAATACTATTTTACAGAACAAATTCAACATACAGGATCAGCTTGCAAAGTACTTTCAGTCTGAAGTAAAGCTGCTAACAACGCTATGTATTATTACTGAAACTGAAAAACTTGGTTTGTTTTCTTCAGTAGTGAATGGTGCTATGCAGATAGTAAAACAATATGCTGTACACAAATGTGGACATGAAAAGAAACCAACAAGTGGTTTGAAATGTTTACAATCTATGATAGGAAAAGATAATAGTTCTAGGTACATTATAATTATTTTACATACATTAAAAATTCTACAATTATATATAAAAAATATATTAAGAATATTTTTAAGGAACTGTAACTGTATATTTGTTTGTTACAGGTATATTGTTGCCACACAAGATCGTGAGCTCCAAGATAAGCTAAGAAAAATTCCAGGTGTTCCTATAATTTATTTACATGGAAGAGCACCTACATTAGAATCTCCTTCAGAAGCAAGTCATAAACATGCTGAGGTTGTACAGAAAAGTCTAAGTATGAGTATATGGCAAAAGGAAAATATAAAGGCATTAAAGAAGCATGCAGGAATAGTGGAAGATGCAAATAAACCAAGAAAAAAGAAGAAAAAAGGAGGACCAAATCCCCTTAGTTGCTTGAAGAAAAAGAAAAAAACGGAACCAACAGTTCCGTTACTAAATAAAATTAGCAAAAAATCTAACAAAGTTAGAAAAAGTAAAAAGATTAAAATAGCACCACATATTAAAGAAGCTTTAGTAGCAGAACTAAAGAATAAACAAGAGGTGTAAAATATATACATATATGTACAATATGTACATTATATATATATATATATATATATATATATATATATATATATATATATCTGGAAATTAAAATGAAATGTTTTCTGTACATCTAGAATACAATACTTTTTGTTGATTTAAGAAGAATAAAATATTTATTTAAATCTGCCTATATATTCTCCTTTAAACTAAAACATATATTCTATTATTCGTTCTCTTATTCATACAATATATTTGTTAATTAATATTTCAACGTAAATAATTGACTATATGTATGTATGTATGGAAGTTTTACACAATGAATCTAACAGAGTTAGATACATATATTTCTTAAAATCATGTTTCTCATGTCTGATGTGATATACATTTGAAGTTCGTGACGTTTGCAATAAGTTCGGTTTGTTTTACAATAAACGCTGGCGGTATTGATAAAACATTTGTTACAAATGATCGAGATGTTATTCATTTAATGGGAATAGTTTACAGTGTTTGATTTTATCAAGTTATGACAATGAGTTCTATTCTATGGTAATCCAACATAATTATCGTTTAAACATTGTGAAAATACAATGACTATATGAGAAAAGTAAGTAAATAAAATTATCAGCTTTCTCGGAGAAAAATGTACAATATTCCTCGGGTATACGTGCTATCTTCTTAGCATAATATAATATCTAAACATATATTTGAACACGTAAACCTGGAATTAGGAACATCCACATGTAGAAAGTATAGAAACATTGGAAAATAATCTTTTCGATGTAGGTGGCACAATATTATTTACAGCCTTTGTTTAAGGACTTTCAGATAATGTTTAATACTATATTACCATATGTGTACATATGTAGGATAATCATTGTTAATCAATGCCGACTTTCCTGTCAAACAGATGAATACTCAAACTGAATTAAACGTGTACAATTTCTGACTTTATTATTTGGTTAATTGTCATAATGGTATGGAATTATTCATTCCAATGTAGAATCTTCCTAGTTCATAAATTGCTAGTCATAAAAATATAGAATCTTTTTCGGTAAAAAAATTTTATTCCTAAATAGCTATTAAGCAAAATCCTCGATATAATTAAAAGTTTTTACAACCGCAATCTTCAATGAGGGTGATTTGTTAAATATGACAATACACCAAGAAGTTTATGCGCTGTCAATATCCAAACAAGGTAAAAATTTATGAAACTTGAAGAAATCTTATAAATAAATTCAGTGTCAATTTGTGAGCGAAAATTAATATTTGTTATCGTTGAATATATAAATTCAATATACTGCAATTATGCAGATTAACAATGCATATCAGAAAAATATCTCTTTTATTTAAGCATTAGTATTGAATATTAGCTAGTATCCACCTATTGTCAAAACAAAATTATATGTAACTTAAAATATATTTCTTTGAATATACGTTTAGAATTAAACAATTTATGTAAAAATTATATTAAAACAAAATTTTATCGAAATATTCAAGCTTGTACCAATGAATAACAATTTAATGTATCACATATATTGAAATATGTGTATATATAGAATATACTTGATTTCAAATATGATTTGAATCTTTTTTTTTATGCGATTTAGACCAGGAGTTGCGTTTTGAACGACATCGAAAACATGTTTAAACCTTTTTGAAATCAAATATACATACAGTGTTCCGAACCTCCATGATGATCCTTGATGAAAACATAGAACGGATTGAGATGAGCAAGAAAATCCTGTGCCGTTTTGCGATATTCGCAATAATAGAGATATTAATTAAAAAAGATTGGTGAATGATCACGAGCAATATGGTAGATGAGCTGCAGTGGCGCCGTCTGCCGTTGTATACTTATACATTAAATCAAACTGAACAAAAAAGTCCTCTACCATTTTGTAAATAACCACATAGATTTTTAAATATTAAAAAAAATTGTTATATATATGATTGTATACCATAATGCACAAATTTGCTTTAATTAATATCTAAAATACAGTCTCACTGCAGCTCATCTACCATATCGCGCATGATCATTCATCAATCTTTTTTAATTAATATCTCGATTATTGCGAATATCGCAAAACGGTACAGGACTTTCTTGCTTTCCTCAATCCGTTCTACCTCACCAAGAGTCATCATGGAGGTTCGGGACACCTTGTATATTAAGATTTTTTAAACGAAATGAAACAAAATGTTTGAATACATGGTAAATAAACTGTGAGTACTAATGAATCTTTACAGTACTGTTGTTTCATATTTTATATAAATCACTGCCATCTTCATAAACACGACTCCTACGAATATTGCTTTTAGACAAAAGTAGTCTTTAAACAGAACGTATAAAATCTTATATTGTATATTTGAATGAGCTCATAAGCATGGCGGTCAAGGATGCTGACTTAGTAGCGCACGAGCAGCCATAGCCAGCATTTTCATACGGCGTGCTGATCGATGATTTGGATTACTCGCTAAGAAGGCGCCTAATTGATTTTGCAGTGTCATTAATACAGTGCCAATGTGCTCTCGTGTTACGGGATCGTTCACATCTAAATTCAATATCGCGTCTTCCAGCCATCTGTATATATATGAAAAAGAAATTTTATCTAAAATATATTCCATAGATGTTGACGAATGGAGCAAATTAACTCCTCTTATATATTGTATAATCTATTCACGTGCGATATATATAAATTAAAAACAATTACCTGTGCTTTAATTCCGTACGATGTCCTAAATCAGCGGATAACTGTTGAACGAGTGATAGAATCACGGGTTGTTGTAAGATGCATCTGGAGCCCTGAGCTCCTGCACACGAGAATACCGTCGAAGGTTCTGTTCGCTCGCATACTAATACTACCAATCCTAAATCACTCGCGCTCAGAGCCTGTTGAAATGCAGCATTATATTGGCCTTTCTGAAGATGAGACATTATACGTGCTTGGGCATCAGCTATTGCGGCTACTGGTATAGCAGGTGTTGTAGCTCTTGATCTGTAAAATTTGAGAAACAATGAAATTTACGTCCAGCTGATATACTAAATGCCATATTTGTAGTGCGAAGCTCACCGTACACTGGAGATATCGGAAAGTTGCTGACTGAGATTTTCTCGTATGGAATCACGAATTGCTCGAATGGTACCATCTTGCATTGTTCTAAAATTTCGATTTAATTCAGTCTGTAATTCTTCGCGCACTAACGTTGACAACGCTTCGCTCAACTGTTCATTGCGTCGTTGACATTGTTTGTCGATAATAGCATCGATACTCTGTAGGTCTACAAAAAGAAAATGTTGCATAGCAGATTGAATAAATACATTTAACCAATCTAATTACGATAACAACAATTACTTACATTCGCGAGTACCCATAACAAAGGCATCTTGGATTTGTTTGAACATGGCTTGGCAAGTCTTTTCTATGCCAGGCAAAATGACAGTCGCGAATGATTCTTTAAAAGCAGCATCCAAGGCTGGTTTAGCCGCATTAGCAGCTGCCAAAGCTAAGCTATCTTTTATATGTGGACCGTTTATCAATTCAGTGACATTCTTTTTGAGGAGGTCGTCCATTAGGTTCACGTCTAACTGTATCTGATGTTTTAAAGGCTCCACGGTCTCTTCAACAACGCGTGACAAGCTAGTTTCAATCTTATCTTTGATCGTTGTTTCAAACGTGTTTAGGAATTCACGTTGATGAGTCATTTGGCTGTACAGAGTCTGTTCCAAGGTAGCATTCTGTTGCTGAGCCATCCTCGCCAATGTGGATTCCACTCGTGTAAATACTGGCGACTCTTGTTGCAATCTGCTTACCTCTGCGCGCAATGCCTTTAATTCTTGATTTTGATTTTGAATTATCTCCAAGATAGGTGCTAATTTCAATTCCAGATTATTGATTTCATTGTGCGCTGACCACGATATTCCGGTATTGTCGGTTGAAAGAGATGTAGTTTTCGGCTCATCTTTCGTTTTTTTTCTCTGCACATTGTTTTCATCGTCCTCGGGAAACTCTTCTGCTTCTTGCATCGCATGAACACTAACGTCTTTGAGTAAAACCATTGGGATATTAGACCAATCCTCGTCGGCATTAGTCTTTGTTTCCGGCTTGCAGTCAGTTTCGGTCTCCTCATCAGGTTTACTGCAAGATAAAATTTCTCTAACTTCTCTTGACGGACTACTACCAGAACTAGCAGGAGCTTGCTCTTCCATTTCGCTCGTCGCGAGCGGTGGGTCAGATGCATTTAATGCTTGTACTGCTTGCGCGAGAGACGGACTGCTGGATATGACTTTTCCTAATTCGGGACTCGCGGTATTAGACTCTAATTCGTTATTCTCTTTCTTCGAAGGCGAACTGAACGCGTCAGGTGTCATCAGGTTTAAGCCGCCGGTGTTGTGATTAATCGCCGCTTCAATCGTAGCAGATAAGGAGCGCTCTTCGTCGCAATTTTTGCCGGGAATGCCATTGTGATTGGCAGTCCCCATGTCTGGTAGATCTTCGGAGTAATCTAGCGAATCGTGTATAAGAGTGTCGAGAAGACAGTTGCCACTCACTTGTGCGGCAGGTTTAAACGCAATGTGGCATTCTTGCAGTGATTTCGGTTGGACTAGATACATGCGAATGATCAACTGATCCTCAATCTCTTCGTCACTCATCGGACAAAGATCCTCTAGTGATTCACCGCTCGGCCGTATTTTACGCTGGTCGGCATCGACAATACCGAAGCTTAAGATCGGATATGGCAGGAGAAACTCCGACACCGTGCTTACGCACGCTAAAGCTTCACCTCTGTCCTTTGAAAGACTTAGTATATATAAAACCTTATTATATATATCCGATAACAAAAGATATCCAGCGCTAAGATCTAAGCCTGCTTTTAATACCGGCATCTTGCCCGTGGAAGGAGTTGGTGCGAATTTGATTGTTTGTAAGCAACTCCACATTTCACATGACCATACTTTCAATTCCGAATTATTGTCACACCCCGTCACAGCAAACCTCCAAAACTGAACACTGAAAAATAGACATTTCGTTTCGGTCACAAGTCTACTCGTGCGTGTCAAGCCAGATATCTAAAGAAGTACTCACTCGGGATGATAGTTTTTATGATCATCGAGGAAGAATAAACAAGAGATAGCTCGCCCTGCATGAGGCCTCCATTGATGCAAACAACGTGGTTGCGGTTGTCCATTGTGAGAGTTATTGTGTAGGAAGACTTGGAAGAATTTCACCTCTCCGTCTGTACTAGCTGTGGCCAGTGCAGTACCGTCTGGGCTAAATGTCGCTTCGACGATTGTACCTGAGTGTTGTTCGATTTCCATCATACCTCCGGACTCTTTAACAGCCATATTTGTCGCCTGATTGAGAAAAGAAATAGAAAACTGATACTTTAACGCGTTCATCTAATTTTAATCTTTCTGTGTTACTTTTTTTTATATTTGCGATTTTTCATATTCGTGGCAATTCTGTAGAGCATAAAGCTCTGTAAATATGAGATCTATTCTTTCCAGTTGAACCAGTGCTGCACTACATCTTTGTTTTTTTCTTTCTACAATGTTACTTTATATACTTGTTTTCAGTCTAAAGACAGAAAGTGCAACCTAATTCAGCTAAAAGGAACAGAAACTATAGATACATTGTATTGTTACTGTACTTACCTCTATCGATCTAAACATTGACGCCACTGTTGCGATCGACCACAATTCAACCTTAGAGCCACGAGTTAAAACTAACAATTTTGATACTTCGTCTCCGTCAGTGGCATCATCTTCCGGGATGTATGGGCACCAAATTACACGGTGACTAATCAAGGCATCTTTCGCCTCAACTTGTATTACTAAACTACATAATAATTCTGATTGTGATGGTTCAATCGTATGTATAAAGAGCGATCCTGTGTTGTCAATACACGCAAGAACTACGTTTGACACATGAGCAAATGCAAGATCTTGAATAGCACCACGCATTCCACGTAGTAGAGCTCTATGTTCTAATTCTTTGTGCACAACTCGAACTACCCCACTACCGGAACCAACTAAAATATATCAGAATGTAATATACAAAATAAGCAAGATATATCTGTTATATTTATAAAAAAGAAATGCAAAATGCGAATAACGATTCTGTTGAGAATTTTACCTTTTATACCATAAGCTAGATATTTTCCAGATACATGAACAGCCAGCAATTGACCAGTGTAAAGATTATGCTCCCATGTAAAGTCAACGATGTTTTTCAATTTCACTTTTGAGCTACCATGGTCGTGACCACCAGGTGAGGGAACAATGGTCACATTTGTGCTACATAACTCTACTGAATGCTGATCCTCCTGTCCAGTAAACTCTCTGTATACAAAGAAAATGTTACATTAACTATCTTATAATATATATAATTGGAAGGCATTATAATCTTTTATCAAAGTAACTTATACAAGAGTTCTTGAATATAAAAAATTAAGTGCACAAAGTCTGTAATAGCTAAGTAAAGATTGCTTCTCTTAAACGTGAAAAATTATTTCAACAAAAATTCAATTTTTTTAGTCATTTAAAATAATTGTGCGATTCCTCTTAAGATAATTTTATTTTTTTTTACATAAGTAATCTAGATTTACAAGTAATCTAGATTTTTTTTACATAAGTATCTAGATTTCTTTTTCTTTATTATTTTCTTTGAGGAATTTTGAAAAATAAGATAAAATATATCTAATTTGTATTTTCTACAAGTTAAAGAAAAGTAAAATAGTTCAAGTAATTTAATATTTTGGCATGCAACTTTTTCAGGCATACTATTTAAGGAGTTAATGAAACTTTATTTGTTTTTGCAATGTTTGCCACTGCACAAGCATAGGACTGCGATTAGTATGATATTAATTACTAATAATTTAGACTTTAATATATACAAAGATTTTCTCTCTTTCTCAAATTTTTCTGCAATTGTCTGTGCATGCGACTTGTTTCTTTATTGTTAGTTATATTAAGTTATATTAAACAAAAGTTTTGATAAAAAATATAAGAAAAAGGATTACAAGAAGCATATAATAAGTTTTTCTATTAATAGCTTTAAAAACAAGTAACTAACATAAAAGAATACTATACAAATATATTGCAATCAGTGTAATTTTAAAGTATTTTTTAGTGTGGTTTGATTTCGCAATAAAGCTTACACAGTCTGCTGATAGTGAAGGTGCCTCAAGTTATTCTCGCCGGTCTTAATCATATTGTTGTCGGTGTCCCTGCAAAATAGTGAATTTACAGAATCTCATGCGCTACAGCGCCCGGGTCGTCTCGGGACAATTCCTAACCCTAGCCGGTGGCACGCGCGATTATAAACCCTCGTCTCGGTATATATTACGAGATCACTCTCTGCAACTCATCTCACCTTTCACGCATAAATGACCGCCGTATTCTGCTGTGCCACTCGTCAAGACAGATGGATCAATCTGCGAGAAACCGCGCTCTCATCACCGGTATGTTCACGCCGTCGGAATGTTTAACATGCACGCGAAACAACTCGATAGATCTTAACGAAGGTGATATGTCAGGCGGCCATCACCCACTTGTCAGCAAGGGGACCGGAAGTACACCGGTGTCGTCGGGAGGAACGTCGTATGAAACGTCTCGCACGCTTTTACCGCGCGTCGGTACAATTTTCGCTCATATAATTCAATTTCGCGTGCCTATAACGTGGAGATGTGTAGACCGCGTTCCGTTTCACTACCGACGAGATATTACTAAAGACTGTCAGCCCTGGGTAAATTTTCGACCCGGCTAAAGGATCTGGAGGGGCCCGGAGAAAATTGAAGAACGATGACAATACCGACCGTTTTTCACACAAAGACGCTTCTGTCTGTCCGTGTGACTACCCTTACGAAAAAAATACGAAAAAACCCTCAATTTTGGGTGTTAACACTCCAATTTAGGTGTTTATCTCCAGTTTTTGAGTGTTTACACCCAAAATTGAGGGTTTTTTGTATTTTTTTTGTAAGATCCCCTTATAGAAATATCATACTAAGAATCATTGATAATTATTTATTATCCAGTATTTTTAATACTGAAAATAAGTAATTATCAATGATTCTTAGTATGATATTTCTATAAGGGAGCCATATGAAAGAAAAATAAAAACTACAAAAGTTTGATTATAATTGCTATTTATCATGCTCTTTTTGACTTTGCATTTCGTGATATAATATATTTTCAATAGATATAAACTTTATGTTCATCAGTCTATCAGGTCTGATATATATTTTCAGTAAGCAAATTGAGCGCAGACTGCGCGCAGTTTGGCAGCAAATTTGATCAAAAACCCACAGCAAAACCATAGGCATCTGTATCTACATTAGGCTATATTGTGACGTATTATATATTATTCAAATTATCTTATATAAAATAATATGAAAGAACCTAAAGTATATACTTTAATATGTGTAAGATATTATTGAAATAAGAAATCTCATGCAATTAGTGTCTTATAGATTAACTTTTACATGAGATTATTGAAACAAATCGTTTGATGTAGTAATACGTAGTGTCTAAGAGCCTCGTTCTTAGCTGTACATTACTTTTTCTATAATAATCTAAAGTACATATTCTGGTGTGTGATAACGCACACAATCGAGCATGGCATATAGCCACGCGTATGCTTAAGATTTCGAGCTGAAACATCCCAGATAGCCAAACCTACGTGAACAGATTTCGAGTAGAGACTGTTATCAACTTTTGCTAACAAATAGGCAACAAATTTAATGCAAGATCTGTTATATCAAATCCTGCTTTCAAACTGCCACCAGATATGCGACAAAGTCTGCTGTCGGTCAATTGCTTCAGATTTGTAGGAAAAATCGCGCAAAGTTTGTAATGATTTGATGGCAGATTGGCAGCAAAAACAGCGTAGGTCCTGTTACACGGCAAGTTCTGTGCAGTTTTTTTGCAAATCTGCAGCAATTGTCCGACAGTAAGCTCTGTCGTAGCTAAATGCGGACACACATGGCTACCCAGTAAGCAAATTGAGCGCAGACTGCGCGCAATCAGCAAATTTGATAAAAAACCCACAGCAAAACCATAGCCATCTGTGTCTACATTAGGCTACGGTTTTGGTGACAGATCTTGCTGTCGGGCAATTGGTGCCAAATTTGCAGCAAAAACCGCGCAAAGCTTGCAGCGCAGCTAGGTCTGCGCGGTTTCTGCCGCCAATCTGACGTCAAATCGCTACAAGCTCTGCGCGGTTTTTGTTGCAAATCTGCAGCAATTATTCGACAACAAGCTCTGTCACATATCTGGCGGCAATTTGGCAGCAAGATTTGATATAACAGATCCTGCATCAAATTTGTTATCTATTTGCCATCAAAAGTTGATAGCAAGCTCTGCTTGAAATCTGCTCGCGCAGGTTTGGCTATCTGGGTATAGTTTTCGTGTGCATTTTTTATTAGATTTGATGCCAATCTGCGCGCAGTCTGCGGTCAATTTATTAATGGGACATAAAGATATAAAAAGAATAGACCAAACATATCCAATATTTTAAAGCGAAGATCAGGTACAAAGAGAGAAAAAATTAGATATAAAGAAACGAGAAGCGAAAGCCATATCTCTTTCTCTTTTCGCGCTATCCCAGCAAACAATTTGGTACCAAATTGTCGCCAAATTGACACCAAATATGACCAAAACTTGACGGCAAATCCGATGTCATCTGCGTCTGCAATATGCTTGGGTTTTGTTAGCAAAGCTTGGTGACAAAATCTGACGCTAAATTGTCGCCAAATACCGAGCCAAACTGCGCCGCACAAACCTTGGTCGGTATTTGGCGCCAATTTGCCAACAACCTTTGATTTAGCAGATGTATCCAATTTGATGACATTTTGGTAGCAAAATTTGTAGTCAAGTGTTGGGCAAAATTTGCTCGAGTAGATTTGGCTATCTGGGTATGAAATAAAGAGAAATATTACGCTTTCCATTTCTTCCATTTCTTACATGATTACATCTCATGGTCGGTCTACTCTTATCATATTTATAAACCGAAGCGTGGAGTACACATGTGCGTAACCTTTCTACAAGAGTTTATACCAAAGACTAAATACCAAAATTATTTTGATTGGTATTATATATACTGTTTTATAATAACAGTATGACAAATATTTTGATATAATATTGGTATTATACCGAAAAAAACTA